GTTGGTTTTTAAAAAATAATTAATGGCGATAATTTAAAGCTTTTATACATGCAACAAAGGCAATAATAAAGTTTGTTGTCTTGTTTGTTAGGCACCAGCCATCATTGACATGTTGATGGGTCATGTTGGTATCTTTGTGGATGGATCACATGGTTTAGGTGATGTTTACTCTGATTGGTACCAGAAGACAGAAAGAGATTATACCAAGGTATATCTTCAACTGTATTCATATTGTACATATTATACATGTTTGTATAACATTATATCTAGTACCAAACTTATACGATGTTTGAGCATGTTTTTTTTATGCCTTTTAGTTTTGGAGAGAAACTCTTGAAATTGAAGACTTTAGAGCTTTGTTATTTAATGGTGAAGGTAAGCATCTTGTAATAATTGATATTTTAAGCTTTTGAAACTGCATAAGTACTGTATACTTGCTAAAATATCTCTTCTCTAGTAAATGTAATGACTATAGATATCCAAGTGTCATGTTTTATGTGGATGCTCAATATACTCAATATTCTAGCTAGTAATTTGTTATACCATATCCTTACTGTGTGCTTGGAAATATGATTTTCCAGGAAGAACTGAGGAAGATGATGAGATTGAGTTGTTTAATCCTGGTAAAAAATATGGTGTCAACAGTATAGAAGCACAGAGAGTTGCACAGGTACAGCAATCATTCCATTACTTAGTACCCACAGTTACTTTTCTTTACTAAAACATTTTGAATATTACAAAAAATACTTCTAATCTCAACAATTTTTGTGAAAAAATAAATGAATATTCAAAAATGTTAAAAGTTAATGAGATGAGTATTTGTTTTCAGGTGTGCATGATATTATACAATTTCTCATTTGATGATGCAAATGCTGATATTCTAGCAAGTCATCCAATGTGCCTGAGGTAAGTCATTTATAAAGATTGTTTTTGTAGACTGTTAGCAGTGACAGTATTGAGTAGGCTGTGCCCACTTCCTGAGAGAAGTCAATTATAGATCTCTTGTGAATGGTTGTAGTACTGGTCTTCTCACCTTAACTGTAAGTATATTATAGACTTAACAACAAAAACACTCACAATGTTGATTTTTTGTTTCAGATTTTTAATGTTATGTATATGCAACCAAATAGGATATATACAAAACTTAGCATGGAGTACCATATCAAATTTGGCAGAAAAGGTAAGTCAAAATAATACTATGAGCTCACATTGAGTGAGTGGGGTGTTGATCACCAGTGACAAATATATAACATGCTGAGATACCTAGCAGCTCTTGATTCTCTCTTATCTGGGAGACAAAGCTGATAAAAAATATTCAGGTGCATGTATTGCTACAAACACAATTTTTATAAATTTATTAGAGGTATCTTCATTAATTGTTTGGAAATGTTTTTTCATGATATGTTTTCATATGGATGGTTGTTGATGAGTTTTTAGTATAATGTTAGTACAGCTATATTTACATTACATCAAAATATTCAGGTGCATGTATTGCTACAAACACAATTTTTATAAATTTATTAGAGATATCTTGATTTATTGTTTTGAAATGTTTTTTCATGATATGTTTTCATATGGATGGTTGTTGATGAATTTTTGATGTATTGTTTTTCTGCAGATGAAGTTAGATCCAGTAGAATGTGAAAATACACAAATGGTTTTCCAGATTCTTCATTATTTTTTGGATGACAAAGACAGATTTAAAGTTTGTAAAGGTACTAACCATTTGTTTAGACATTATTATCCTTATAAATAAAGATRGTGYTTCTTCTGCRTAAATAAGGTTATTTATGATTAACCGAGCTTTTGGCCTAAGATGCCATTTTCAAGGTTGTTAGTACACATAATACACAGCTAACAGTAAAGTGCTCAAGAGGAAACTAGTTAAGACATAAAATGGGTGCACACTAATTATAAACAAGTGCCTGCGTACAAAGAAATTCTAAGCATTATTATCATTATTATTACAATCATGACTGTTCAACCAAGTGACGTAACTGTTCATATTTTAGCAATGGATGTTCTTGGTAAACTGTGCGTCAGAGAAGATAATGATGAAGTAGTTGAAATGGCAATAGAAACCCAAGCTTATGAGTCTTTAGTAAGAATATTAATCATCCCTGATGTACAGGTAAATATCATATCAACGAATGTTGCAACAACAACAACTTATATCAATATGAACAACTACTAATTCATCATCTCCACYCGGTAACAGTACTTGCMAACAACCTCCTGCTCATTCTTACAAAAAGGATGTAAGACAAGACAGCTGTATACACCTGAGCAGACTTCATTTTTTGTGCAAGTTTAAGTTGTCAATAGCCATGATAGTAAAAAAACCTCACCATTTGGCACTAATTGCYCATGCACTGTCTATGATATCAGAGCCAAATKTYCCTTKTTGTTTCTGCTTGTCCATGTAACCTGCTWATGGCTATATGTTTTTCAGCTTGTTATTGGTTCACTAGAGGCACTGTATAATATCTCTGGAGTAGGGCAAACTACATCTGATCAGATTGCAAGTGTAGACCGTAGTGTTGGTATGGACAATTTTGTTCATGTTTCAGTTTTCAAACTTCATTTCTAACAGAATAAGGATTAATATTGATGTCTGAATATGGCTTTTAGTGACAACTTTTATTATTTGTGTAGATATTCTAGTTTGTATGGTCACCCTTGATGCTGAGAGCTTTGGTCCACAAGCCTTATCTGAAGTTGTAGTTATAGAGAATAGAATACCAGGGTCATTACCTATGACCCCTAGACCACGCCCTACACACACTCCTACAGGTAACTATCGCTAGGAAGAATCTTCTCAATAACTGTTTTGTAAACGTTAGTGTACATATAATGTAAGAAGCTTGAATTGATGGGTGGTCACTACTAGTTCCTTAGGATAGCCTTCTCATAGATAGTGACTGGTCAAAAATGGGATTTGTCAGATTTATACCTATGGTTGCCTTGGTATTTTTTGTGTGATCACTTTGTCTAGAATTATTAATTTTTAAGAATGCAAGAGTTATCAAGTTATTGTCCAAGCATGACTCTACTTCACATGCAAATTTTGTGAGGGTAGCTTGAAAACAGTCCCTGTGATGTTGGAAATTCAAATGTTTTGATTATTTCTTACAGTAGGAAGTGCATCGCCTGTCTCGCCTCATACTCCCTCTGTGCCGTCATCACGCAATGAAGTGGATGCTGAAGCATTTACTGTAAAATGGTAAGGTCTCTTTGTAATGGTCAATAAACAAGACTTTTTCATGAATGAAAATCACCTCCACTACAATAACTTTTAATGAAATTTGAGCAAACTATTTGATTCAATCTTCAATAATACTCACTGTAATGTTTGCAATATTGTATTAGGCTACAAGCAACATATGAAGCTATACCATCAGGGACAGTCTCTAGGATTGATCTTTATGCTGATTACCTGTCTTCATGTAGTCGTCTTGCAAGAATAGGAATATTGAATGCTTCAGCTTTTAATAGAATAGTCAAGTAAGTTGTATTTCTAGAAACCATTCATTTGTCAGTAAGTAAACATGTTCTTAGAATTTGTTGCTGTTGTAGGTTTGTTTTTCCTGATGCCCAGTTGAGAAGATTCCCAACTGGCAACCAGCTACAGTATGCTCTATGTGGTATGCGTAGAAGAGCCAATCCTCTCCCAGTAGCATCAACTATAGATCAACCACAAACACCCACTACTCCTGTACAACCAAGAACACCTACACCACCTATTCCAGGAAGAAATTCACCAAACTGGAACCAAGCTCTACCRCAAAGATCTCTCAACATGACACGTCAAGCACCACCCTCCCCTACTGGGGTGTTTAGTCAAGGAAATCTAATTCAAAAAAMCCCAAATCCATTGCTCAGGCCAGGTTTCCAGGGGACGCCCGGTGTTAGCAATGATGGTACAAGACTGCCTGGACAGTTAACACCTCAACAACCCATCAACCATACAGCTATGCAAAAACMAGTACAACAACCGTGGCAGCAGCAGAATTTCCAACAACCTGTACCTCATCACCAACCTAATACACCAATTAATAATCCAGGCATAGTAGGGCGACCTCAAGCAATACAACCAAGATCACCTGGACAATTACCTGGTATAGTAACACAAAACTCACAAACACAGGGATCTCAACCACTACTRCGGCCACAGCCTCAGCAACCACCCAGACTACCTCAAGCACCAAATATGATGACAAGGCCTGGGTCACCTGGCCAAGCAAGAATAGCMCCTAGAACTCCYATGTACTCTCAATCTGGTTTAGTACCTATTAGACCAGCACCACCAAATGTAGCAATGCAAAGTCCAGCACCTGTTTCCTCTCAACCAGGACCAGGACCTAACATMAGATTACACAATGGACCTTCATTGATGGGAGCTCAGAGACCAAACCAATTTAGGCCCCAGAAACAACAAAGTCCATTTCCACAGGGAGGCCAACAATTTCAGGGTTTTCAGCAAGTGCCAAGGTCACAAGCGCCTCAGACCTTCATGGGGCAGCCCAGACAAGCACCACCCCAAATAGTCCCTAATCAAGGAGCTGGTGGCTATAGGGGGAACCAACCTATTGCAATCGCACCAAAACCGAGCATTTATCCAAGGTAGAACTATCATTATATACACTAGCATTTATTTATGATGACAGGGGCTAAGCTAACAGACAATCTCTTGTATTTCAGCACAACAGTCACTCCTTCAACTAACCAAAAGAAACAAGGCTCAACAGATGGTGTTGTTCTCATAGCAAGAGAAGAGAAAGCAGAAGACATTCTCACRTCAGACTTATTACAAAATGCAGAAGAACAAAAAATAGTTGTGGTCGAAAATACCAACAATACTCAGAAAAATACAACACTGAAAAAACAGGAAAAYGGTGGTGCACCTTATGAAAACAATATTGAAGGYAGTACGGGTTTAAAGAGAGACTATAAGAGTCGACACGCAAACTTGAACTCGGAGGGGTTAGTGAATACTAGTCAAATAGATCAGAATGGTATCAATGGTTGTAAAAGAACGCGTTTAGATGATAACTCACCAAGTGATATAGTAGACTCTACCTTAGATGAACCCATGGTCAATGGAGATATACGCAACGACCCCAGAAATAAACTTATGGATAAATTACTAGGTAAAGATCTACATATGCCACTTAATGGCATGTGTGATATCAATTCTTCTGATTTGGACCTGATAGCACCTGAGGGTGAACGACTTAGTGGAAGCAACAGCAAGACATCTTCTCCTGATATCTTTGATAGTGAGAACAACTCAGATTTTGGGAAATACCTCGAGGAGAGTGATACAGATACTGGGTTATTTAGTGATGTTATACTAGGTGATATACGTATTGACTCTATGGAGACCGATCCCAAGTCTAAAAGTACTGACCAAAGTAAAACTATTCCAAGTTTACCAGAYTTGGGRTACCATGCTGTCGCTCAAGAATTGAGGAATCCTGGTACTCTACCTATTAGACCTAGGAATGAAACTTTACCAAATAAAGGATTTCCTAACAATCTTCATGACAAAGTACATATGACATCAACWACTCGGACAGGTCAACCACGCCCTTCAGATTCTAATGACATCATGGGTGGTCGTTATGGTAATGATGGTTTCCAAGGACAGCCTAACACAACCTGGAATGGTTCTACAACGCGACCTCTTCCTCCACCAAGTTATAATTCAGTTACTCAGAGTGCTGGACCTCGACCCCCAGCACAACAACATCTTAATGCAATCTTAGAACATAGAACCAAAGCACTTGTTACCCCTAAAATGCCGAGTACAGAACAACMAGATAACAGACAACAATATGCTCACCAAGTATCTACAGTACCAAATACTATTCCTGGACAGCMAGATGCACCAATTACACAAGCTATCCCAGGACAGSCTGGGTCGCCAATCACACAAGCTATCCCAGGACAGCTTGGGGGGCCAATTACACAAGCTATCCCAGGACAACCTGSGGCACCAACGGCCCAATCTGTCACAGGTATATCATCACAGTCAGCGGAACAGCAGCCTGTTGCAGATACTGCCGTTGAAACCTTCAAACCATTTCGTTGTAGATGGGCTAGTTGTACAAGGTACTTGCTCTCGTTTAATATTTTAAACATTTGTGTGTGTCTAATTCATGTTTGTTTTTCTAGTTCATTTGATGGCGGTAAAGAGCTGTTTTCTCACGTGATCAGCACGCATGTTCCACGTGATACCCTCGTGATGTCATGTATGTGGGAGAATTGTGCACCAGTGCGAAGATCAAGATCATCTTTACTTTTCCATTTACAGGTATATTTACCGCTAGTTTTGTGACTATATACAGAAAATCCTTGTGACGCGACTAGTAATTCACGCTTGCATAAGTGTGTAATTGGGTGAGCTTACTTAAAAAAACGCCCATTATTGACTATTTTCGTGATAAAATCTTTGGAGTAAATAAACGCGTTTCAAGGATTTTTATGTGCGAAGTGCAATTGTGATCAAGAATAACAGTAACAATAACTTGTTTGTCTCCGAAGCAAAAACACAGTGGTCCCACACCAGTGACTGTTGGAACAGCGAATCCTCAACCCCAGGTCCCACCAGTGCCTTCACCACAGGTGCCCCAAGCACCATCTAGTCAACAGAATCCACCGAATTACTTTCCAGCTTATAAATTACTTTCTCGTATGATGTCGGCCATGCAGGTAATTAGGGTGTTGAATAGTTTAGAATGTCAAGCAATTAGAAAAGCTTGTTTTTCTCCGGTAAAGCATACACGTGTGTTACCATGGTGATTTCTTTCTAGGATGAGGAAGAGTCACCGCTGACCAAAACTGTTCGATTAACGTCTGCTCTTGTACTGAGAAATATAGCACAATACTCAGCCATTGCTAGAAGGTATGAAAGGGCTTTTGCATGCTAAAACCCTAGCCTCCCCCGCAGACAACACTTGGGTCCCTTTGGCATCCTCTTGATAAGGACATTGAGGAATACAGGAAGTTCATGAGTAGAATGAAGAGGAGAAAGGAAGACGCCTGCGGGGGAGGGTAGTTGGAAAACAACTAAGTGTAAAACGCGTACATACAATTTTCCATAGAGATGACTACGAGCTCTCACAATCATAGTATCATGTTAATTGCTAACTTGTCTTTTTTTTCGCAGTCATCTACGACGACACGAACGACTTCTGTCAGAAGTCGCCATGTCCCATTCTGAGGCAGCTCATGCAATAGCAGCGTGTTTATCGGAACTATCACCACACAGAAAGACATCAGAAGATGATAATAATACTTTTATATGGGCCTTTGATAGATGATAGCAACTCCAAAACCGCAACCTTACGCAAGCCTTTGATGCGCGTGGACGCGTTTCCGTTAAGTTTGCGTTGGTAGTCATYGGATGGTTTTGGATGAAATATGAGCGTATTTTATTTACTTTCCCCTTGCGTCTCCCAGTAACTCGTTACATATATCACATGATTAAGTTTAATTGTGAGCTGTGTCTAATGTATTTAGCTTCGAAGTTTCGTATTTTTAATTCTTTTTTTCCAGATGTAATAGCTAAAAGTGCTGCCGCTTCTTATGGATAACGCTAGTTATTCAAATCCAATTGCGATTTTTCTTTCATGTACGACGTGCATTATCGACTTACGTTATCGTAACGCACACAACGGCATCGCATTGATTTTATGCCGTAAGAGTTTTGTGGTATCTGAAGGTCTACGTGTACGTAGTGGCTAAAACGGCTCTGAACAATCAGTAGTAACCTAACGTATGGCTACGTAACCACATAACGTAATTAACCACGGTACCGTATAAAGAGTTTGACATATGTAACGTGTAAAAGGGACTGTACGTGATTGTCCACGTTAACGTAAATGTTCTATAGTAGAGTATTTTAAATCAGTATAACATAGCAGGACCAAATTATATAGTGTACAGTAGGACCTTGAGGGTAATGTCCCTACATACAGTTTCTATAAGTTTATTTATAAATTTTACATCTATTGTACATACGTTTTTGTACAGCTAAATACTCCTGTTTTGAGGTCTAAGGCGCATGCGTGATTCTTATGATTATTTATATAGCGGAGTCAAATCGCAGTGCGTTTTACTCCCATAACCAAGCTCACTCTTCTGTTGTTGTTACAACTTTGGAAAACATTAAATGATTTTTGTAATGAACTTCATATATATCCCTTGCGTTACTTTAATTCACTTTCCAAGGGTCTTTCTCCCGGAACTACCTTCTTCTTAGCACTATAACTTTCCTTTATTTCTATATTACTTTAATTCACATGATCAACTTGAAAAAACTGAGAACGTTTCTCAAAACAAGTGTTGGTGGGCAATCGGTCACATTAAATGCGTCGGAATGTGGGTTGCTCGTGGACCATATCCCATGCAAAATAATTCAATTTATTTTTTTGGTTCAGTATCCTAGTCATTCACACGCTCTGATTGGCCAGCGCGCGGTCCGGTATACTGTCCACGGTATACTGCAGCTGGGCTGCGAGCAAAGTTGAAGAAAAACAAATAAAAATGTAAATTTATTTACCGGCTACAGGTCGGTTCGTATAGTCGGTCCGTACTGTCAAGACCTCGGACATGGTTTTCCTATACGGACCTCCAAGCCGGTAAATAACATATATGAATACAAAGAATACAAGTTGAAAGATTCAACCCTTATGAAGTAAAATATAGCTAGTTCAAAAAAGTTTGTCGGATAAAGTGGCGAATGTCAATTGTCGAACGGCGATTGCACGACCGAAAGTAGCGGGTTTTGTTGAAAGGCAATAAAAACTGATTTGTGTTGCAATATGATCTGTGGTAAACATTGGCTACATATAGGGTCTAGTCTCCATTTCTAAGTAAGGTAAATCCAATAAGTGAAATCAGATTTTGTTTATCAAAACAGTGTAACCAAAGTCCCTTTCGGTCGTGCAATYTCCCTTTTCGACTGTTCGCCGTTAGCCGTTCTCCCCGACAACGTTTTTTGAAATAGCTGTATAATTAAGTTGTACAATTTTTTTTTTTCATTAATGACAAAAAGTATGTACGATTCATGAGGGGACTGGGTGCGCGCTAACCTGATCTGTATGCTGTGTACCAAGGCTGTAAAACAATTGAAATAATGTTTAATGACTGTTTCGCACGAGTCCAGAATGATTACAACTAGTACTTAGTATGTATTCATTCAGAATAAAGATTCAGTTTTTGTGACGAAAGGCCTTATGGGACTCTCGTCACTATGTCATCGGTTGAGAGACCGAATCGTAACCATCCACTTGTAGCAGGCGTTCCTTTCGAGTCCTTGATATGTTCAAAGTTGAAAAGAGAAATCTATAGTGTAGAGGAAAAGAAAACAATGGCAAAGAAAAAATAAGAAAAGAAAAAGAAAGAAAGAAGAAAAGAAAACAGGAAACAGAAGAAAAAGAAACAAAAAAAAAGAGAAATTCCAGCAACAGGATTCGAACTCAGGACTTTCACTTCAGTAGAAGATGCACCCCCCGGAATACATAAGAAATGATGAAAATAAAAAACTAAAAAGATGGGACGATTCCCCCGAGACATTCTATGAAGCTGAGGCGKCGAATCGGCTTACGTTACGGTTAGAGATTTCGGCTCTCCCACGCTATCCCGAGTGAACATAAAACTTAGTCTTAACCAAAAGGCCAGGGAGTGAGGGGGTAGCCGCCCACTAGAGCATACCTTTAGCTACCCTCTTAGACCATCGTACTATGAGGACACTTATAGATATCTAAAGCTAATTGGGGTAGTCTATTCGGTGAAGTTCTATGCTAATATATGACGTCATCAAAATCCTTAGGGAGCAGCGAGCCAATCGGAGCTCAGTTCAGGAATTAGCAAACGACACAGGGCTTGCAAATCAGTCTTCAGTGGATWTATTTTTTGATGGGGGGTGGGGACGGGGGATGGGTGCCGAGTGCCGATTTGCGGCCGAATACCGATGTTCGATGTAATGTGACGGCTTTCACCGAGCTGTTCAACTGTTCTTATTGTTTTCCAAATCATCACAGGAAAAGTTGTACAGTTCTTATATCAGGGACATCACAAGTATTCGGATAAAAACCACGAAAAGAAATCTCTTGACTTCTTAACAAGTGGTTTGCAGACTAGGCAGCCGYTAAGCAGGCTAGAGATACTAGCTGTTGCCAAAGATTTGCCGGGATTCAGCGGAGCAATCAAAGACATCTGAAACTCCAACACGCTCGAACGTTCCAAATTAGTTTTCGTTCTTTATGACTATAAATTAAGTTTTCAAATGGGTTAATATTGATTATCAAATTGAAATTATCAAATGTAAATATATGATATATATGAACAGTGTCGACAGTTGAAGAGGATGAATGACTATTCCRTATATATAAAATTGATAAAGAATGKTAAAAAACTTAACAATCTTTGAGTTTCATTGCAAAACTATAATCAGTCGAATTATAGTAAAAATACCGTTTGAATGACATAAACTTTTTATAGAAGAATACGTTCAAGAATTTGATCATGATTTCAATAGTCAACAGTCAACAGATGCAGAAAGATGTCTTTGACTACAGCTAAAATAAAGCTCTAAGGAATCTATTTCGTGATGTCCAAATCTTTCAGATGGATATGTTTACTGTAGGCAAGGGCGCTCTTCGTCAGGCCCCCACGGGAGGCTGTGATGATCAACCATTACAAAAGGTTCCTTGGCCCCTGGGAATCGCCGGCTCTTGTGTATTTATAGGCCACGTTCGGCCACGTTCCATTTCCTTGCAGCGTATACAATCAATCATTTATTTCACAAAATGTATACTTATTTCAATTTGATTTACAGCCTTTTGCAAAAATTATGAGAATTGTCGAAATATCGAAATATCATCATATCAAGTGCATGATGGGTAATCCCGCGCGCAGCCCTTTGTCCCAAACACGCGGGTTTGCTAGAATAATTCATTGTTGACATCGAGAAAATGGATAAGTCCGTCGCCGCCGAAAAAAACTAAACTACAAAGACAAAGGACAAAGGGAATCGCGAGGGATTACCCATCATGCAATTGATATTATGATATTTAGATATTTCGACAATTCTCATAATTTTTGCAAAAGGCTGTATATGTATATATATATCTATATACACTGTTATTTTCAAGGAGTTGACATAATTATATAGAGATAATTCAGAAAACGTTGTTCACTGAAAATAGTGTATTCGAAGTTGCTAAATCACTTGATGACCTGAGTCACATGCAGTCCACGACTGCCTATTTTTTTCTTTCGCGATTCCGTCGATTTTGAACGGGACCCACTCGAAAGCCACCGGGCTTCCGAGGAGTCGAAAAAAACTTGTCAAAATAAATGGATGACTAACGTTAAACTAGTGTGAACTACGTCGGTGTTTTTATGACAATCAGTTGTGATAAGAATTATAAACCGTTGTAATTGGAAAACTTGCGATTCGGACGTTAGTGTTTCGAAAAAAAGCATGGTAACAAAGTATATTACGTCATCAAGATGATAAATATATGCTAACAGATGTCACGCCATAACCGCAGTGACGTCATAAGTCTATTGACAATATAATTTATGTCACTCGGCAATGTAGATCTGTATACATTGAATCATTCTATGTATTGAAACTTTTTATTCAATTCAGGTCTTCGATGGTTGAGTAGCYMYACTTKGTGAGCTTCAAATTATGGAAAGATTACTATTGAAGCCGAGAAACACCATGTCTCGCGAACATTGCAGCAAAATTCTAACCACACTCAACGATCACAGAAAAGAGGCCATCTTGTGTGATGTGACGTTGCACATACAAAATTGTTCTTATCCTGCTCATAGAAGTATCCTATCAGCCAACAGTCCGTATTTTTACAAGCTCTTTACAAGTGATATGACAGAGAAAGCACAAGAAACGATCAAAGTTGACTTAGAAGAGCTTGAAATTGGYAGAACCGTCATGGATGATATCTTGTGTTACTTCTATACGGGCAATTTGAATATCTATACGTCTACAGCACAAGATTTATTGGTAGCCAGTGATTATTTTCTTATATCTGACCTAAAAGAGGCTGTTGCTGAATACATGGCGTCTATGATTACAATAGAAAACTGTTTGGTTACACAAGCCTTAGCAGAGAGATTCAACTCACAACACCTGCACAAAACAGCCAAATTATTCATCGAAAAACATTTCTCTCTTGTGTGTAGAACAACGGAATTTTTAGAATTACCGCTACCTCATCTAATAGAATTACTGGCAAATGATGATYTAGTTTTGCATCACGAAAGGGAGGCTCTAGATGCAGTTTTTTCTTGGGTAAATTACTCGAGACTTGACCGAGAAAAGCATTTTGATCGTATCTTCCCTCAAATCCGACTAGTGTCATTCACAACAGTGGAGTTGAATGAATTACAAAGYAACAAKCTGGTACGAGACAATGCTAAATGTATAGATTTRATTGACCAGCTGATTGAATCACGTGCTAATAATAATGTCGGGGAAGAGTGGAACGATCCTAGGAAATGTCTACAGCCGCCTCTAGAGGTTATAGTWACATGCGGTGGCATGTCTCCCCAGTTCCCAGACCACTGCCCGYTAACACGGTGCTATGTACCCGACACTAATAGCTGGTACGAACTGAAACCAATGTCGTGTAAGCGTAACTGGCATGGTTTTACTAATTGTGGTGACGCAATGTACTGTATCGGTGGTGARGTTGACGGTACGGTGACGTCATCTTGCCAACGTTATGACTTCGTCAAGAACACGTGGGAGGATATCGCGCCGTTACTACGTTTAACGATCTTCCCTGCAGTAGCTGAACTGAAAGGGAAGYTRTATGTTATTGGAGGTGTACGGAACAACCGTGCTCGTCTACAAATATACAACCCTGAGACGGACGCATGGTCTTATGGGACATGTCTGAATTTTGCACGTGAGATCACGTGTGCTGTTGCTAAGAGTCCCTACATCTACGCCATTGGTGGATTACAAAGTGATATTGGTACATACATGAACTCTGTAGAGAAATACCACCCAGAGTTTGATTGTTGGATAACAGTTAGATCCATGATTCACTCAAGAGCTGGTGCCACCGGCGTTGCCCTTAACAACTGCATCTACGTTATAGGGGGAGAACACGATCTGCGCATGGCACACAATAGCTGCGAAATGTATTTCATCGCTTATGATGAATGGCAAGATGTTGCGAGCATGCGTGTCCCCAGGTATTTTGCGGGTGCYGCAGTRGTAGGGCARGGCTTTTTCGTGTTTGGTGGCGTAGGGGGTACYAACGTTGACTATCTGGACAAACAAGTCGTGGAGTATTACGATGCTAAGGCTGATACGTGGAAGAGCGATTTCAAGATGCCGTGGAGTGAAAGATATTTCAGATGCGCTAAGATACTTGCACGAAAACACTTGCTTCGAGGGCTTTCTGTCATCGATACTAAAGATTAGCGGTTGAATGCGGTGAATTTTGATAATGGATGGATAGTGGTTTAAAGTCGATCGATGGTATCTACTGCCACTCGACCACTTGTCAGTCAAGAAAGAAAGTGCAGTCTTGAGTATGMAAGCTGGTGACTTGCTTCGTCTATACATTACAATGCCAATATTTTTTTCCGTGGGAACGTTTTTGGCAATTGTGATTCTATGAATTTGCTTTCCAAAACATTTTGTAACTACAGATAAGCGGCAAAAAGTTTATGTAAAGTGTCTTGTGACGACGAGCTAGTGAATGTGAAATGGAAATTTAAATAAATGGGAAAAAGAATTGAAAGAAAGGATTGTCCATTATGTTGTTCGTTGGAAAACAGGTCTCATATGTTAGTAGACTGCGAAATTCTAGAAATTTATATATTCTATAACGTTTTTTTCAATATTAAAGGAGAAGTGGCAAACATTTGTACATCATCTTTATTGGCTATTCGACCSTTGTACGAATCTAAAATGTCTCTAAATTATACATATTCTACAGTTAAATGTTACAAATTCAAAGACAATTATACTTATAATTCTCTTATTAATTAATTAATTTATTTATTATTACGATTTATATAATTATTGGCTTCATTTGGATGGGCCTCATTTGAAGTATCCAAATTGGTCCCTGGTGTGGAAATAATTAATAACACTGTTGATCCAGTGACGGAAGTACCTCACACTAGCATATCCATCAAAAACCTTYTTTTCTGAGCAACCCTTTAAACCCCAGCTAACCACCCCTTCAATGTACCATATGCCTTTGGTCTTGCACACCATGGGCCCTCCTGAGTCACCATGGCATGTTCCCCTACCAATTTCCAGCCTTCCGGCGCATAATACAGAGGGGTGGTATATAACATTATCAAGGTTGTAAATACCATATTTTGCAAAAGAGGCCTTGCATTTATGCTGAGTTGCCAGGGATACGCGCAAYTCGTGCAAAACATCAACRGGGGTACTTCCGGTCTTCTTGAGACCCCATCCGGCTACCCAGCATTCCTTGCCATCATAGATGGGTACCGAGGRGCCTGGAATGCAAACAGTACCGACTTCMCTGTTAAGTCGTGCGGGTTGTTGTAGTTGTAGGAGTGCAATGTCGTTGTGGTTGTTCGTGTGGTCCCACTGTGARTGAGTGAGGATACGTTTGACAAGGATCTTCTGYTCTTTGCCATGCTCTACGGTACGTTTGTGCTCTCCTAGGCTGAGAATGAAAGGCATAGTAAGCCATGTGGGATTGAGTCTAGGAGCATGCGCAAACGATTGGCCTAACAATGATAGAAATCTAGTACTTACACGACYGTCAGCTTCTTTGATTTACTCCACCACGCCCATTGTCCTTTTGGYTTGACRCAATGTGCAGCAGTTATAACCCAGTCTTTCTTGATAAGTGCTCCACCACAAATGTGCGTGCGTCCTGGTACCAAACSTCCCTTATAATAGAAAGGAGGGTGCATAATTTGTATTTGCCACGGCCATTCATTGGCTGATGCTTCCTTTCCTCCTACGATCCTTTTATTGATTGTTTTAGCTCCACATTGTTCTTGACTATGATCAGGAGACCACCAACTTGGCCAMTCAAAACCTGAACGACGGCGAGCACAATCAATTGAAAGAAKWWT